AGTTTACAGATGATTTTATATTCACGATCTCACATATTTTCTCCATTTCCCCAAAGGAGAAGCTGGTCATAAAGGATGATTTTCTCAGGGTCTCATAATTAGTAACAGAGCAGAATTGAGAATTGGGATACAACCCCCACCCCCTTCTCTTTCCTTGTCCTGATCTGTTACCCTGTGGGCCAGTTTTTGCCTTTGTGTTGTGCCTAAATGGTGTAATTACTTCTGGAAAGGTGGTATTATCAGGTTTTATCTGGTGGAGACTGAGGGTAGGAGGAATTTTATTATTTTGATTTTATGAGGAATATTATAATGCTAAAGAGTTGTCAGTCAACTCTTCAGTGTTAAGGTCACTTTCAAGCTGTAGCTCCTTTTCTTCTAGACAACATGGATGAGAGAGGAGAGAGAAAAGAATTACTTTTAGAAAAAAATCCATTCTTGCAGTGGTATTGTTAAGGGTAATTTAACACTATAATCACATTATCCTTGTATGCCTGGCTACTTGTGCTGGCCTGTATGTGGATGTTAACCCAAAAGACTCCTTTAGATGTCGCTGAACTAGTTACTATAAAAAGTATTTCACTTTCAAACTCCCAGGTTTCAAAAAGAGAGAAACTCAGTATAAAGGCGATTTTGAAGGTAAGTATAGGTGGAGGAAATTTATTGAGTCTTCTTTTCTGAATGCCAGACACAAAGGTTTCAGTAGAAAAGCATTTCATTTTTTAAATTTATTTATTTATTTTTGAGACAGAGTCTTGCTCTGTCACCCTGGGTAAAGTGCAGTGGCATCATAGCTCACTGCAACCTCAAACTCCTGGGCTTAAGCGATCCTCCTGCCTCAGCCTCCTGAATAGCTGGGACTACAGGCATGCTCCACGACGCCTGGCTAATTTTTCTATTTTTATTAGAGACAGGGTCTCGCTCTTGACACCACAGTTGGCAGAAAAGCATTTTAAAGGGCTACCTGGAAACTCTGGGATGGCAGTAGTTATAGGGTTGAAGGTTTATATTTCAGTGTATAGGTTGTCATATAGGAGTATGTCTTTCGTCTTGGGGAATTTTTAGTCTATAGCAGAAATGATAAACCAGGAATATTTGTGTTAAATTAGTTCATTGTAACCATTAAGTCTGTAATTGCAATTCTACAGTGGTGAGAAGAATGGCGTTTAGGGGTTCATACGTTGTTTTTAAAGTTACTGAATTGTGCATTCTTCAGATTTGCTACTTTAGAAAATGTGTAAATTCTTGGAAGACTTCTATAAATTCTTCAGTATATGTTTTCCTTAACTTAGTTACCTGCTAACAGTACACTGTCAGAGTTTATACATGAGTTGCAATAACCTTAGAAGTTTAAACGTGGGTGAATTTTCTGTGCTGTTTTATATTTTTTGGGAATGGTCAGTGTTGTTTCCACAAGAATTTTATTTACATCAAAGATAAGATCTTTTCAGGTAAACCATTTTCAAGTGAATGGATTTTACAGGACCAGAAGCCTTTCTTTGAACTTTATATAGTTGTTTGTTCTTGGTTGTATACACTGTTTAAAAATGATCTTTAGTAAGGAAAGTCACGGTAAAGGAAAACTTTTTACATTGTTACCCTCATAATCTCCATTCCTGGCAAATATTCTGAAATATTAGATATTTCTTTGCCTTCATTAAGTAAAACAGGCCCGTTTGATACCCATTTCAAGATCTTCCTTCTGCTACCTGTCCTGTGGTCATTTAACTTCTCATTAAGCCCCCACGGGAGACTGTGCTAAAAGGGAGAGAAGATGAAAAGCAAATGAATCATTTTCTAATTGTTTGTAGCTCTCGAAAATGATTTAGTAGAAGAGATTGAAACTATTCTGGAAATTCTTTGGGATTGTGTTTTATTCCATTCATCTACATTGTCTCTCAGATATTCCTAATGGACATCAGTTCAGAATTCAGAGGCTGATTATGATCCAGCTATTGGATAGCCAGGAATCTTCCTGCCTTTTTTTTTTTTTTTTTTTGCATTTCCACAGAGGATGTTTAGAAGCAAGGAGTAGAGATAAAAATCTAAACTAATCAATACTGTTTTTTCCCTTTGAGCTCTTTAATGAACAATTTGATTTTTTTTTTTTTTTTTTTTTGAGACAGAGTCTCACCGTGTTGTCCGGGCTAGAGTGCCGTGGCGTCATCCTAGCTCACAGCAACCTCAAACTCCTGGGCTCAAGCGATCCTTCTGCCTCAGCCTCCTGAGTAGCTGGGACTACAGGCACGTGCCACCATGCCCAGCTAATTTTTTCTATGTATTTTTAGTTGTCCGATTAATTTCTTTCTATTTTTAGTAGAGACGGGGTCTCGCTCTTGCTCAGGCTGTTTTCGAACTCCTGAGCTCAAACAATCTGCCTGCCTCGGCCTCCCAGAGAGCTAGGATTACAGGCGTGAGCCACCCCGCCCGGCCAACAATTTGATTTTTAAAGACAGTTTAGTCGTTGTTATTGGAGTGACTAATAGTGGCTTTGCTTCAGTTTATTTTGATATATTTTATACACAAGTATAGTAAGGCTCTTGGATGCTTTTTAAGAAACATGGGCTCATATAGATTCCCATAATTGCTTTCCTGAATTATTAATCTTGAGGTTTCATTACATCTTTGTGCCGGAACCTTGGCTTTTGCTGTGGAACAAATTCAGGGGCATCGTTAATTTTCTTTTTATGAGTGCTCAAGAAGTTATCTTGTTTTGATTTAGCAGTAAAAAAGGAAAAAAAGGATTAATAGTGGACAGACCTTGCATAACAGCTGTAACATTGATGTCTGTTTTTTTCCTTGTCTTGGTCTTCTATTTCTCATTTAAACATTTGGATATTCATGGATTGGACTTTTTTTTGATCACTGAAGACAGAGGATAGCAGCCATTATTCACAGTAGTGAATAGATTCCAGCCTTTTTTTTTTTTTTTTTTTTTACCTCAAGAGAATTTTTACAAACCCATTATAACTGCTTAGTTAGGCTGAGTTACTGTAAAATTTGTAAATAAATCCCTACTGGGTGGATAGGATTAATAGATGGCTATAGGGAGTCTAAAGGTAATCCTTTTCAAATTGTTTCTTGGGTTCTGTTCTTTAAATTTCTATCCTAGGAGAGGACTATGGAAAGATCCAGACTAGGAGTCAGAAAACCCAAGTTCTTACTCAGTTACTTCTCAGTCGTGGGGCCTTGAACTAGTCACTTAATCTACCGTATTTTTCTGTTTTGCATCTCTAAAATGTTGATAGTAATACGTGCTTGGCTTACTGTTATCAGGAATATTGGAGGGGGTGGTGGAAAGGCTTTCATATGCCTGTCTGTTTTATCCCTGTCTGTTTAATTTATTTCTAGAATCCCTTTTCAGGTTGTCCAGATTTTCTTTCAGGGTTCAACTGAATGAGCTTTTTCCAGAAGTCCTCCATTTTCCCATTTGGAATCTCGATTTTCTCCTCCTGCAGGCCTCTGCTGGTCCATCTATTATATAGCACTTTAGAAATCTGTTCTGTGCTTAAGTTGTCACATATTGTCTTCCTTCATAGATTGAAAGCTCCATGAGGGCGAAAATTGTTCCTTTCCCATTTCCGTGTATCCCCATTGCACATAGGTTCCTCCCCACCCCATAGTTGACTTTCAGTAAATGTTGGTTGAATAAATGGTTATTGAGGCTGTCAGGAATGCATACTTTGGGTGATGGAAAAATGCCAAAGATGAGCATCTTACCAGAACTTTTGGATGACTGTCCCTTTAAATTGCTCAGTTATTAATCTATTGTTATCAGTAACTGAATCAGATGCTGGCAAGACAAATTGGCAACACCGTTTCTTGGTTCTGTTTACTTCGGATACTATTTGTGAAGCAAGTCAGAGGAATGAAATGTTGTCATAACAGCCCTGAATTTGACATTTGTTCTATTTCTCACCCTATAGCATGTGGAGGCCTATCTACATCCAACTGCTGAGTGTAAAGAATAAAAACTGACTGCACGTCTCTGGGTCCACATTTTAGCTTGTTTGCTTTGAAGAATTTGCAAGGTAGAGAAATAGATGCTTCAGGCTCTGATTTCAGCCCATGCTGTGCTATGCAAATGTTCTCTACATGCCTGAGTGACCTTTTGAGAAAGAGCCTTTGTGATCTTCTGTAGCCAGGCTTGTTCTGGGAATTGTGTGCCAGATTCCTCTAAAAGTGGGAAAAGTGGATCTGTTCAAAGACCATATAAAAAAGCCAATGCTTTTCCTGGGTGAATACGGATAAGTCCATGTTTCCTACCATCTCTTGCCAGAGCTTTTGAAATTTGCTCTGCAGTTTGCTTTGCAGGTTGATTTGGGGAAAAAAGTGTGTGAGCGGGAACTGACTAAGGCAATTCAGTAGCTGGGAAACTGTTTAAGTGCTTTTGAATTGTAGATAAAAATAAATTCACACTGGCATCATTAGTATCTGAGCGTTTCTCAGTATCTTAACGCTGGCTGTCCATGGGTGCTGGCTGATCCACTCTCGTCCAGATCAGTAAGGTTCTTTTTGCCCCAAATTGTGCTCTAACAGTTTAGCATTTAAATTGTTTTCTATTTGTTTTACTTGTTGTACAAAGAGAAATACATCATTGTTAAACTATATCATGATCAGTTTTTTGTATTATAAAATAAATACCATTCTGATGTATTTCTCTTGTAAGGGATACTGGTGTCTCAAGAGATTTATGATTTTTGATACTTTTACTGAGGTGATTAATTTGTATAGCTGAAATGCGGATGAAAAGGAGTTTTCCCTTTCTCCCTTTTTAATTTTTTAATTTTTATTTTTTGTTATTTGGAGTTCTCCAATGATGCATTTTATTAATTATTTTTTAATTTCAAAATATCAAGGAGGGTACAAGTGTTTTTGTTACATGGATGAATTGAATAATGCTGAAGTCAGGGCTTTTAGTGTGCCCATCACCAGAGTGGTGTACATTGTGGACCACTAAGGGTTTGTGCCAGGATACGGTTGCAGAGTTAATCAGAATGTTCTATAGAAATTCTAAAAATTGGATTTTCAGAGAAGAGAGGTAAATTTTTTTCCCTCTCCTCTCCTCTCTCTTCTTTTCTTTTGTTTTCTTTTTATACACTGTGAAGATTCAGAGAGGTAGAATTTGAATGACTGGTTTAATTCCTGGGCTCTTCCTCCTTTTTAAGTACAGGATAATTCTTTCTCTATAAAAATCTTGTGTCTTAGTTCCAGATGGGCTCTTTGTGGTAAGCATGGAGGACACATAGAAGGCCCCGGGGGATGTGCTTTCTTCCCCAGATCTTTGCCCTGTATTAGGTTTTAGTTGAGCAAAAATGAGTAGTTTTTCTGGTGTTCGGACTGCTCTGTGGGGTGAAAAAAACCTTTTTTCTCTATTTTTGTGGTTATATGTGCTATCATATGTCTGATTTTTTTCCTCCCAAAGTTTCCCTGGAACCTGGGCTCTTGGAGACGCAGCGCTGGAGCAGATGGATAATGGAGACTGGGGCTATATGGTGAGTGGTTCTTGCAGATGCATTTTGAAGGCTGGCAAATAATTTTTGTGTATCTTGTTTTCCCTTATGTATTCTCAGGTGTAATATATCTTAAAAGAATGAATATTATGAATTTGTACAACTCCCTCCCTCTTTTAATTATTAATAGTTTAGATGTATTTTTTGGTTGTTTTTTTTTTAATTTTTAAAAAAAATTTTTTGTAGAGAAGGGGTCTTGCTATATTGCTGGTCTCAAACTCCTGGTCTCAAGTGATCCTCCTGCCTTGGCCTCCCAAAGTTCTGGGATTACAGGTGTGAGCCACCACACCTGGCTGGTTTGGTGTTTTTGTTTGTTTGTTTGTTTGTTTTGAGATAGAGTCTCACTCTGCTGCCCAGGCTAGAGTGCAGTGGGGTCATCAAAGCTCACAGCAACCTCAAACTCCTGGGCTCAAGTGATCCTCCTGCCTCAGCCTCCCGAGTAGCTGGGACTATGGGCACATGCCACCACCACACCCTGTTAATTTTTTCTATTTTTAGTAGAGACAGGTTCTTGCTCTTGCTCAGGCTGGTCTCGAACTCCTGAGGGTTTGGTGTTTTTATGGGAGCAAACTCAATATGGACTTTCTAAGTACTTTTTTAAATCACTTATTTGAGAGACAACATTATTTTTTGGTTTTTAAAGTATATTGCTCTTAAAAGTATTACTTCATGGAATGGTGACTACTAGAAGGGTGTAGAGAGTAATGATATGGCGGACATTTTCTTATAGTTAGGGAGGTTAATGGTTGAGAAGGTGCCTCTTCTCCTAGCTGCACTTCTCATATGTGTGTGTATCTCCCTATTTTTCTATTCTTTTGGTAAGAAATATTTTACTTGCCTCATACCTGAACTCTGTGTGTCTTTATTTTTTCTTGAATATGATTTCTAAAACTGAAGGTATGTTAGAGAAGCTTGTTTCTCAAAATTAAAGGATAGATTGTAATATTAATGTTGCAAAAGTGAATATACTATCAGATTGTGAAATGTTAAAGCTGCTATTAGCCTTTGGATATGTGATGCTTTTGTAGCTAGGTTGTATTGACTAAACTATATATTTTAACTTAGTATTTGCAACTATAACTATAATTTCCATGAAAAGATGATCAAGATTAGTTCTGTACAAATTTATATCTTTAAAATAAACTTCATGATTCATTCCCCTTTTATGAGGGGGGAAAAACTCAAAGAAATATTGAAAGTAGATGTCTTTACATTGTCAGATCATTTTTATTCTATCCTATGTTAAATTGAGTTAAGAAAAATGAAAGCCTTTTTTTAAAAATCAGAAAAAACTTAAGAGTATATTTTAGCTTAGCTTTTTCCTTCCCATAATCTTCTCTGACCTGAAACTATATAGCTCTGGAAGTCATGCCCTCCATTCTTACAGTAAGTCTTTAAAGAATTGGATTTATCCTTTTTTTCTATTGAAAGCAAATGTTAGATCCCTTCATCTGGTTATGTTTATCACTGAAAGTAAAGCCAATTTGCATTATAGGATTACTAAATGCGTTATAGCCTGAAGGTATCTTGTGCTTTGCTCAGTATTGTTCATTTTCTTAATTTGTCAAAGGTAGGATTTAAGAATTTTCAGATGACTGATCATTTTTTTAAAAATTTCAGATGACTGACCCAGTCACGTTAAATGTAGGTGGACACTTGTACACAACGTCTCTCACCACATTGACGCGTTACCCGGATTCCATGCTTGGAGCTATGTTTGGGGGGGACTTCCCCACAGCTCGAGACCCTCAAGGCAATTACTTCATTGATCGAGATGGACCTCTTTTCCGATACGTTCTCAACTTCTTAAGAACTTCAGAGTTGACTTTACCCCTGGATTTTAAGGAATTTGATCTGCTTCGGAAGGAAGCAGATTTTTACCAGATTGAGCCATTGATTCAGTGTCTCAATGACCCTAAGCCTTTGTATCCTATGGATACTTTTGAAGAGGTTGTGGAGCTGTCTAGTACTCGGAAGCTTTCTAAGTACTCCAATCCAGTGGCTGTCATTATAACCCAATTAACCATCACCACCAAGGTCCATTCCTTGCTAGAAGGCATCTCAAATTATTTTACCAAGTGGAATAAGCACATGATGGACACCAGAGACTGCCAGGTTTCCTTTACTTTTGGACCCTGTGATTATCACCAGGAAGTTTCTCTTAGGGTCCACCTGATGGAATACATTACAAAACAAGGTTTCACGATCCGCAACACCCGAGTGCATCACATGAGTGAGCGGGCCAACGAGAACACAGTGGAGCACAACTGGACTTTTTGTAGACTAGCCCGGAAGACAGATGACTGATCTCCAACCCTGAGAGAAGTTTCTGGAAACTGACTCTCCAGAAAATGGAAGAGACTGATTTTTTTTTTAAATCACAGTGTGAGATTTTTTTCTTTTAAATATTTGTATTTATTTGAAGGCAGTGAGGACCAGAAGGAAGTTTTGTGCTTTAGCAGACTCCTCCATGTTTTGTTCCCTTCACCCTGAGTATGCATGTGCCTGTTCAGAGTCTCCAGATACCTTTTTTATAAAAAGAAGTCTGAAAATCATTATGATATATAATCTACCCTTAACAGAGCTTTTTTTATTACAGTGCTAAAATGATTTCTGATAAAATGGTCCCTAACTTAACTAGAAGGCTAAAAATACAGGAATGAAAGAATAAGCAGAGTACTCTTGATGCCTTTGAGAAAAATCAAAACATCATGTAGGGTGACCTAGTTTCCAAAACAATAAGTAGTATTGTAATATTAAAGGAAAACTGTTCCAATCATTTAAAAGTACTTATTAAGTACTGCTTTTTACAGTTATGACAACTGTTTCTTTCTGTGCATATAAATCAAGCAACCAAATATCTGCAGGCATGGAAATGTCTGATTAGAAATATTTATATTGGATTCTGAATACAAAATGTTCCTGTGGTAGAAATCGTCTTATGCCTGGTGCAGTATAATTCCTAAGTGTACTGTTGACCAGAAAAAAAAACCACCTAATAAAAAATGAAATATGAAAATTAAGTATGTATTTGTTGATTATTATTAAGGGGGAAAATCATATTCCTTGTCTAAATTATGCATTGTTTATTTTATGTCCCAATATTTATTGCCTATAGCACATTTATATTTGATTTGGGAGGACTCGGTGGAACCTTAGGTTGCAGTTTATAAAAACTCTATTGCGTTATTGAAGCAAAGATGGATAGAATTATTAATTTTGTCTGAAAGAGTGCATATTTGACCAGTGAACATGCAGTTTGACAAATTTTTTCGAATAGGACTTATGTTGAAGATTACACATTTTTTAATTGTCATAGTTGTGACAATTTCAGCTCTGTGCTAAGAGCACAGGGACAAAATGACTCTGTAGCCACTTTACTGTGGTAACCCACTAATGTATTTTGTTATCAAAGTCAAGGTTATTTCTGAGGAGAAGAAACAAGCTCCAGTGAATGAAGGATCCGGAGCAGTTGGGGAAATACATAATTTTAGTTATTTCACTGTATTCTTATTTTGCATAGTTCATTTGATTCTGTTTCTTGAAAGTTACTCACAGAAAGGATTATTTTAATTATAGTGAGACTTCCTAGTTTGCTAGAACACCTTATAAAAGAAAGGTCATGCAGTTTCTTCACTGTTTTCTAAGGGGGGAGTGGAGCTCTGAAGCTATATGCTCTGGGGCAAGGCATGTCATTCCTTTTTCCCTTCTCTCTGTGAAAAGATTCTGAGATTCTCTTTCTAAAAGGAAGACAGAACACTAACTTATGTCCATTTTTGCACGTCTCTCTGAAAATTTATTTTAAGATCTGACAAACGGCCAATATCCAGAAACCTATAATTACCCCATTCTCACCCTCTTCAAACTAAGACCTGGTAATGTCATTGACAGGCTGCTGTGGTTTCAGTGAGTCAATATAGTAGTACAGGTTATCTTTTAAAAAATATTGTCTCCTATTTAAAATTGATTGATGGTTACCTGAAAAAAAACCCCAACCAGTTATGTATTATTGAACAAGTTGAGGCCAGTATGAAATAAAATGGTTGGGTTGAAAACAGGTGTGGAAATAGGAATAATACTAGTTAAAAGTTAACTTATGGGATCTCTTCCTTGCCCAGTTTATTGGAGATAAGTTTGCTTTTGGTAAATTTTCTCAAGGTTCACTAATTATTAACAACTCAATGATTATATGAGTAAATTAGGAAAAGTAGCCAGTTAAGATTTTTTGTAATTTAATTTGTGTAGTGACATTTAATTTTAAGTGTTTTATCTAGCTGGGTAATTGAAAATGATATGAAAAACATAGCTTGATGATTTTGGGTTGTTTGACACAGTTGTGTCTGTTTTTCTGAAATTTTAAATCATTTTGACTGCGGAAGAGTTGATTTTTAAAAGCTAATACTTAGTTGCATTCTTAGGGCTCTATTTTATGTAGATTACACCAAGTGTAGGCATTTTGGAGGATTGTGTATGTGCCCTTTTAAACCTAAGGATAAATGTGTGCTAAAAACAAGTGTTAATGAGTGAGTCTACTGGCTTTTGCTAGATCTAAAGCAAAATCCTGATAGTTAACCAAATAGATGCTACAAATGGATAGTGGTACTGTTATTCATTGTGGGAAATTTCAAACATATTCAAAAGTAGAATAGTATAATGAACACCCATGTACTTCTCATTGACCAACTTCAACAACTATTCACTCCTGCTTTTTCCTATGGATGATTTTGAAGTAAATCACAGATATTATTTCACAGATATTACTTCAGACTGTATCTAAAAGATAACAACTCTAAAACATAATTTTAAATTTTAATTTTATATATATGCCATAGTACCATTATCACGTAGTGGTGCTGCTTGCTTCTTGAATGTTGTTGGTTGTTTCATAGCTTGGATCTCTGACTTTGTACTAATGGTCTTATATATTTCTCATAGGCAGGGTTCCCCTGTTTGTAGAAAGAAATGCATTATTAAGACAGGATATTTCTGCCAGGATTAATGACTTCCTTTCAAAATTAGTCTTTAGCTTTAAAAAAGTAACATTACATAAGATGCTTAATTTTTAAAATTATTTTTTAAATTCATTTTGTATGAACATATGGAGAAACATTTTTCCAAAGGGCATCCTTTTCCCATGCAGATTTTAAACTGTGGATGCAGGTGGCCAATTAAAAACACTGCTTATCATTTGCTTTTGGAATTTAATACAAATAAAAGGCTTGACTCTTTGAGGCTCTTTGAAATGGAACATTAACCCATAAGGCAAGGAACCAGATAGTAGAATGAGGTAAGCAGCATTCTAGGTCAGAGTAGCTTATCTCCGTTATTTTCTAATGCAGTGATTTGATTCTTTCTTTCATAGCTCTAGCCTCTTTTATAAAATTTACTTTTTTTGCCTGTCTACACTAAAACTGTAAGCTACTCGAACACTAGGCCTGTGACTCTTGTTCTCTACTGTGTCCTCAGTACCTAGGACAGTTTCTGGCAATGTGCTCAGTACATATTTGTTGAACGATTGAATGAATGAATCTGCTACTGGGACAAATTTTTACATTAGAATAATTGAGGGAAAATAGGATTCTTGTTTTGAAAGTATCGCCAACGATTCCCTCCACTGCTTGCATGTCTAGGGAATCACTTAGATACGAGTTCAGGTGGGGAGGGGAACAGTCTTTGGCAGTTCATTTTGAAGAAACTGGCTTGAAATAGCATTCAAATCAGGAAAAAAGCCAAAAAGCAGACATGGCTAGAGTAAACCACGAGAGAGCACATCATTGTCTGGGGATGAAACTCAACACAGCCTGCCCCCAATAGAGAAATAGATGCTCCTGTGATTCCAAGATGTTTAACTTACTTTAGCATTTTTCTTTTGGTAGAAAAATGTTAGTGAAATATATTCTTGTTTATGCTTTTGTGTCTACAGAGCATGTTTCAACATAGCTGCTCTTTTCATTTGTTTGAGATACCTGTAGTGTGCCTTTTTCTACTAGTGCAAATGAGGAAAAAATATCTCTTATTGCAGCTTCAAAGTTATTTATAATGGATTAGAAAAATACACTTTAAAAGTGCTATTTGGGAGGTCTCTAAAAGGAACCAGACATGTATTGTTAGATCATGTGGCTATATATTAGCAGTCAGCTGAGTGTCATTTTAACTAACTGGAAATGGTTCTCCAAGGTCATTTGTAACTTCACATTTCTAATTGCATATGAGCTTATGCATGAAGGGCCACAATACTGTGCCTGTCACCTTTTTAGCAAGATAATATAAGCCAGGATAACAAGACCGTGGCATTGTATTTGCCGCAGTTTGTTTCACTATGTAGGTTGTAAAACCATGTTCATTTGTGGTTTATGGAAACATGGAGTGTCTACTGTGATAGATCCTGGAGTTAAGAAGGTGAAGACTCCATCGTTGGTCACGGTCGAGTGGAAGGAGACAGAGAGAAGTGAGAGGGATAAAGTGCATCGATGTGTTACCAAATCTTTTGACACTGTGGGTCACTCATGCCTCTCGCTCTTAGATGGTATCCACATTAAAGTCTTTTTTTTTTTTTGAGACAGAGTCTCACTCTTTTGCCCAGGCTAGAGTGCCGTGGCTGTCAGCCTAGCTCACAGCAACCTCAAACTCCTGGGCTCAAGCGATCCTCCTGCCTCAGCCTCCCGGTAGCTGGAATTACAGGCATGAGCCACCATGCCCAGCTAATTTTTTCTATATATTTTTAGTTGTCCAATTAATTTCTTCCTAATTTTAGTAGAGACGGGGTCTCGCTCTTGCTGAGGCTGGTTTCGAACTCCTGAGCTCAAACAATCCGACCGCCTCGGCCTCCCAGAGAGCTAGGATTACAGGCGTGAGCCACCGTGCCGCCCCACAGTAAAGTCTTTTAAAGTAAACATTAAAAAGAAAGTGAAAAACAAGGAAAGCCCCCTACATTTTTCAATCAAGATGAGGAATCAGGGAAACTGGAATGTTTCCTGTGTTGCCAGTAAAATGGGTTTGAGCTATATACGTCAGCGTTTCCGAGAGGTGTTACGGCAGGGCAGGCTTTTCTCTGGAGCACCAAAGGGCAAACATTTAACTTTAGACCATGGGAGCTAGTCTGGAGTGGGAGGACTGCTGTATTTTTGTGCCAGGATTTACATGTTAGAAATAGATCAAATTATTAGAAAAAGCAACACACTGGATGCAGGTTAACTGCTAAGCAGTAAACATATACTTTCTTTAGGGAAGTTGTTTCTATTTCCTTGTTGTGTTAAAAGGATGCCTTCCTGGCGACAGGGAATGACCAAAATGGATTGGCCTTCTATCTGACAACCATCTTGAGGGTAACTGGTTGTGTTATAACTTTAGATAATCAAGTTAAATTAAGCTGTGAGGTATGGCAGGCTGCAAATTGTTAAGAGCAAGTCTAACACCATGCTAAGTGTGAAGCAAAGCCTGAGAGTTGCCAATTGGATGAGGTGTTAAGACACCTTTTCTGAAATTGGACTGAAGAGGTAAAAAAGAAAGCTTTGCCATCTGAGTAACATGTTTGCATTATACAACTTAAAATAATCTGTTGTGTACCTATAGATGTTGTGTTTTGATCATCTGTGTCAAATTGATTAAATACTGGTTCCCCAAATTCTAAATACAGGGTTTATTTCTTCACTACAGTTAATTTATTCATTGATATTCATAATTTTTCCCAAAGAGGCACACAGCCGAGAGTCTGGGACCCTGGCTGACCGTAGGCTGTTGCGGTTTTATGAGTCCCCTCCCTCTTCTCGCTGTGAATGATGTAGAAGTCTGGTGTTCTCTCCTAGGACAGCTGGCCGTCTTTTTGCCTTAACCCTTGTAAATTGTCATTTATATGGCTTTCCGGGGTAGTGATGTCAGTGTAGCAGCCTCTTTTGCACCTGGGACTGTGTTCCTTAGAGCGAAGAGGAGGGAGGCATCTCTGGCAGGCCGTTGTCAGGTCCGAGAGAGACATCCCCCAAGCTTCCTATCCCCTCTAAATACTCACCTTTATCTACACAAAACAGACTTAAAAGGCTGAAAATAAGATGGTTAAACCACCACAGTGATTTATCTCCTTATTTTTGTGACTTAAAAGCCAGTTTGCCACTCTGTGTGTATGCCCTTGGGTATGTCAAGCCACAATTTAAAGCTTGGACCTTTCTCCTAATTCCCTTTACCCACTTCCCAGTGCTGCGTTTTGCTGATTACAGCCCAGGCTTCTAGACTTGCAGTTCCTGCCAGGCCACACCCCCACTCTTGGTTTCTTTTACGTGTTCTCTAAATTTTTTTTTTTTTTGGAGACAGAGTCTCATTCTGTCACCCTGGCTAGAGTGCAGTAGCATGATCATAGTTCACAGCAATCTCAAAACTCCTGGGCTCAAGTGATCCTCCTGCCTCGGCCTCCCAGAGTGCTAGGACTATAGGCGAGAGCTACCGTGCCTGGCCTTGTTCTCTAAAAGTTTTTAAAACAGACATGCCATGCCAAGTGATTTCCAACCTAATGGGAATCATTTAGAATGGGAATCATGGACGTATATTCACTGCTTATTCTCTGCTCTCTTACATATTCATAATGTGTCCACTTAGCTACCTGAGTATTGATTGGTGACTTCTGAGCCCACTGGAACAGGCGTTCATAGACATTTCCATCATAACAGCCAAGTGCTGAATTTAAACAACGATCAGTGAAGTCAAAAGCATCAGTTAACAGGATGGCATCCTTCCTGAGAGAGGAAACAAGAGTTCGTGAGTATTTCTGATTGCTCTTATGAACCTAATTAATCTGGGATTGTGAATAACAACACTTCATAAGGAGTTGCATCATCATTCACTTTCTGAACAATTCAGCTTTATTTTATTTTTTATTTTTTAATCAGTTATATACGTGCAGTATAAAGAGTGAGAATTCCTTAAGGTTTGTTATTTTAAAAGCAGCATATCTCTGTCTCTTACCTCCATCTTCTTCTCCCCAGACGCAATCAGTTTCAATCTTGTAGCTGATATTTTGGTATTTGCCTGAATGTCTAAATATCTTGCAGCTTCTTGATGGTTCAGTTCTAGATATTATCTGTTGACTCTTCATTACAAAAGGTAAGGATTTATTTTTAGCACTGCTCTCTTTTTAATTTTTAAGGTTTTTAATTATTTTCTTTTTTGTAGGGGGGGGGGTCTCACTATGTTGCCCAGGCTGGTCTTGAACTCCTGGCCTCAAGCAGTCCTCCTGTCTTGGCCTCCCAAAGTGCTGAGATTACAGGCGTGAGGCACTGTGCCCAGCCTCCCTCTCTTTACCTCGCCCTCTCTTTATCCCTACCTTCCCCCACCCCCATGCTTCCTCCCTTAGGCCTTCCTGCCTCCCAATATAGTTAAAATTTTGGCCAGACCAATATTCAGTGTTGACATTGTGATGACTGTATGTCATCAAGTGTTTGAGGTAACTGGGATACTGTACCCAATTTAATCCTTCCTTGATGACCCCTCATCACGATTATGAACCCTATTACCTATTTAATGTCCCTCTGCCCCCTTGTGGTCTCATTTCCTTCCTTATCCAGCTGAAATTTCATGGTCTTTTATATTTACTCCCTCAAAAACGTATTCAACAATTTTTCTTGCTTTGTCATACCAGTTTAGCAAAACCCATCCTTCCTTATCTCCAACTTTCCACTGACTTCATGCCACCACCTTTGCAGCTGTATGTGGCTGGAAAAACCCGTCCTGACTGGTGTAGTAAGGGTTCTAGTGGGCCCTGATTGCTGCTCAGCAGTCACATCACATTGCTCTAGTTCACTTACTCTTCCCTTCTCTTAGGGGATTATTTCATGTCTTCTCTTCAGCCCTCAAATCTATGCTACCCACCTCTCTGTCTTTCTTATCTGCGTGATTTTGTGTCCTATTTGACTGATAAAGTGGAAGCAGGAAGAGAATTTCCGTAAGTTCCCACCCCTGCATTTATACATCCAGGGCCTTCTCAGTACAGGTCAACTGTCCAGGCGCCCAGCTTAGGCCAGTCAGTCCCTCCTTGTCTACTAGATGCCCTTTCCTCTTGCCTACTAGGGAGCAATGTTTCAGAAATTCTCCACCTTTCCCCTGCAACCTCAAAATTTCCCTCTCGGCCGGGCGCGGTGGCTCACGCCTGTAATCCTAGCACTCTGGGAGGCCAAGGCGGGTGGATCGCTCAAGGTCAGGAGTTCGAGACCAGCCTGAGCAAGAGCGAGACCCCGTCTCTACTAAAAATAGAAAGAAATGATCTGGACAGCTAAAAAAATATATAAAAAATTAGCCGGGCATGGTGGCTCATGCCTGTAGTCCCAGCTACTCGGGAGGCTGAGGCAGGAGGATCGCTTGAGCCCAGGACTTTGAGGTTGCTGTGAGCTAGGCTGACGCCACAGCACTCACTCTAGCCTGGGCAACAGAGTGAGACTGTCTCAAAAAAAAAAAAAAATTTCCCTCTCTCCTGGATCATTTCCATCAGCACACCAACATGCTGTCATTTCTCCCATCCTAAAGGCTTTGACTCGATTTCCCCTCCAGCATCATGGTTCCCCTTTATGACAAAACTTCTTGAAAGTGTTATGCCCATCTAAGCTTCCTACTTCCAGTTTTCCCATTCTCCCTGAACGGGACCCATTCAGGTTTTCACGCCCCCTATTGCACTGAAGTAGCTCTTGTCAAGATCTTACTGTCTTTGGAGGGTCTCAAGACTCAGTACTTGGACCTCTTCTCTTCGTGCACTCACTGCGTGTGGCAGCATCACTCTCATGGCTTTAAATATCAGCCATATGCCAGTGACTTCTAAACTTGTCCCTCCAGTGTCACCTGCTTACCAACATCTGTACTTGGATTTCTAACAGGCTCTTCAAACGTAATGTGTCCAAAACCAGACTCCTAATCTGCTAGACTAGACCCTTTCCTGTCTGTCCTGCCCAAACCTGGCCCTGCTGTAGTCTTCCCCATTTATCGTAAATGGCATTTCTGACCTTCTGGCTAAAAGCCTTGATTCCTTTCTTCTTTCTTACCCCACATCTAATCTGTGAGCAAATCCTGTTCTACCTTCAAAATATATGCAAACTTGGACCACTTTTGTCACCTCAGTGCTGCTGTCCCTGGTCCAGTCCGCTATTGCCTCTCACCTGAATTACTCCATCAGCCTCCCACTGGTCTCCCCACTTTTTACTTTTAATTCTTAATATGGCAGCTGGAGTGGTCCACTAAAAACATAGATCAGATTCTTTCAGGTTGTGTCTATTCTATGCGCAAAACCCTCCCATTCTCATACAAAATAAAAGCCAAAGTCTTCATTTTAGTCTTTGCAGTGACCCACCCCACCCTTTCTTGCCCCTCCCTGTTCTCCCTTAACTCTCGGACCTCTGCTGTCATTCTCTACCTCACTCACGCCATTCCTGCCTCTGTGGCCTCTTCTCTGTTGTCTAGATGGATGTGCCAAGCGCACCGTGGCTTCCAACGTTTGTACAGTTGTGTACCACATAACAACATTTCAGTCGATGATGGACCATATATGTGATGGTGGTCCCATAAGATTATGATGGACCTGAAAAATCCCTATTGCCTAGCAATTTGTGTTCCAGTCGCCTACAGTGTTCAGTACAGTACATGCTGTGCAGGTCTGTGGCCTAGGAGCCACAGCTGTACCATATAGCCTAGGTGTGTAGTAGGCTGTACCATCTAGTCTGGGTACGTATACCTTATGATATTTGCACAGTGATGAAATCACCTCATGATGCATTTCTCAGAACGTATCCCCATCGTTAGGTGAGGCATGACTGCGCTTATGCTCTGCCTGGAATGCTCTTTTCCCAGCAGCCACATGGCTTCTCCCCACCTTCCTCCAGGTTTTTCCTCAAATGTCACCTTCCCAGGGAGGCCTTCCCTGACCTATTTAAAGTGTAGTCCTCCACCCCCAACTTCCTTTCTCCCCTTCCTGCTACCCTTTTCTTCATAGCACTTATTACCATTTCACATAATATATATTTGACTTATTTTGTGTGCGTGTCTGTCTGTCTCCTCTCCTCTAGTCTGTAGGCATATTGTGGCCCTGTCCAGCCTGAAACTCGCATCCTTCATTTGAGGGATGTTTTCTTGAGTTATTTTATTAAAGAATTGCTCCCTTCTCTTTTCTCTGTCTTCTCTTTCTACACCTGTTATTGAGTTAATGGACAGCTAGGACTAGTCCTCTTTTAAAAAATACTTTCTCTTATTTTTTGTCTGTCTTTTTGCTTTCTTTCTGTGAGATTTCTGCGACTTTATCTTCCAGTCCTTGAGTTTTTCATTTCTACTATCATTTTTTAATTTCAAAGAGCTCTTTTTTTGTTCTCTGAATATTACTTTTTAAATAATTACATTCTGATTCTTATTTTGTGGTTGCACAAAATAAGAGCTTTTAGCTCTTTAAGAACCCTACTGATTTTTTTTAAAAAGTTTTGTTCTTCCTGCAGATTCTCTTGTGTCCTTGGAGTTACCTTGTCCTTGCTTGTTTTGGTCTCCGTTTTTCACATTAGGGGCTTTCCTGAGCCGATCCCTGGGTGTCTGATCATAGCTAAGAGCAGAGTATTCACTAGCCGATGAGAAGCTTGTCAGTGTGCTTGTTAATGTGGGGTGCACTGTGGGGTGAATTAGATAGATCATTGGGGGACTTTGGTGTCAGTGTCCTTTGCTCCTTCTGCTTGGGCTGGTCAGATTCTCAACTATGCCTGATGTTCCCTGTTTATTCTTCTACCAGAGCAGGGTCAAGGAAAGTCTTAAAACCACTCACAGAGGAGGAGGGGAACTGAGGATTCAACTCCTTCTGAAATAGCCTTTCAACCCATCATTCAGCCTCAGTGCAGAGGTGCACAGTACTGCTCATTCCTGGGCTCTCTGGTGTAACTTGTCTGCTAAGTATCTCCCTCTGTTCTCCATTTTCCATGTTTCCTCTACTGTTTTCTTTCTCTCTGTGGATTTATCCCTTTTAAAACATTTCAATCCTTGTGCTGATGTTTTAGTAAGGTTTCAGGAAGGAACAAAAGAAAATGCATATTTAATCTGCCATCTTTACCTGGAAGTTCCCCAAGTGGGATTTTATGATTACTTAACTAAAAACCATTTGGGTCAGTTAATTAACATTACACAGAGAGCTAGTTCTAAGTGTCACTTAGAATAGTGCATTGTCCTTCATTTGTCATCTCAGAAATTGGAGGGAGATAATGACTAGTCAAGGCAGGGAATGGTTAAAAGCATGGAATCTGTTACATACCGAATTACCCTGCAATGGTAAGGTTACTTAGGAACCATAATGTAAGTAAATCAATTTGTGGGTTTGATGCATGTGTAAGCTGGCAGCTTGCATCAGTGCTGTCTGTCTTGTCTTGAATTGTAAGTCTCTGGAGCCAAGGCAAGCACTTAGAAATGCTGTTTGCAGATAGAAAAAAGTGTTTATGGGACATTAAGGTGATCTTTTATATTTTCTCACCGCTGCCAACCAGGACTAGTACATTATTTTCTTCATGTGCCTTTAATTGATGAGTGTTTCAGAACGGCCAGGATGCACTTGGGCTTGAACTGTGCAGTACTTAATTATGCTCTTAATGGTTTTCACCATTGGATTCCCTATATTAGACAAAGTTTAATACCTGGGGCATAATTGTATGAAATGTATTTTTGACAATTTTTGATGATTTAATTGAACAAACATTTACTGACTACCAACTATCTGTTAGGTGCTTATGTGCAGTCATAAATGGTATGTGACATATTATATATTGTTAGAAATTAAGAATTTGGTCCAGTTTTTTTTTAAACCTCTGTCTTAAAAATCTTATTTTTAAAAATGTTCAAATCTTTTTCCTTTTTTTCCTCTTAGATTTGTTGATAACGAGAACCATTGAAGGGCCCCCCTCACATATAATAGGCATTATATTTTCTGCCTTGTGAGGTCTTTAAGAAGTTATGTTCTTTTTTTTTTTTTTTTTT